GATACCCAGTTGGCAGGAATGTCCTCGTATCCATAATAAGTAGAGTTAAAAGTTATCCATAATGACATCACGCTTTTCCGTGTGCGATTTCTTCGGTCGTTTAAAAATCCGAAATATTCAATAAATTTCAGTTTTAAATCCCCTCATCGCAAATCGTCACAAAACTCTGATTCTCCCTTTCCCCCCCCCCCCCCCCACTCCACCCCCCCCCCCCGAGTATACTGCCAGGTATGCACTGCTAAAATTTTGAGGGGAGGTAAATGCTACCGGATATCGCAGTAGCCATATAACCCATGCACGTGCTTTGGTTGGAGAATCACGTTAACTCTGCTTCATCTGCCCCACTGACAAGTTGTAGACAGGGCACTTGGCTTTTGCAAGTAAAGACCTAATAGTTGGTCTTCCGATTTCTCGAGTTTACAAGATCAAAGACAATGATTTAGAAACAGATCACTTCAAATTTAAAAAAAAAACTATTGCAGCGAAAGGGTTAAAAACAAAATTAACAATACAACAAAACAACAAAACAACAATACAGTACAGCAGTACACCAGTACACCAGTACACCAGTACAGCAGTACACCCGTACACCCGTACACCAGTACACCAGTACACCAGTACACCAGCACACCAGTACACCAGTACAGCAGTACACCAGTACAGCAGTACACCAGTACCAGAGTTTCTTCCAGGCATCTCTTCGGGGGGGCCTGGTCCCCCCCCCCCCGAAAAATTTTTATCGCACCCCCGAACGAAATTAAATTTATATAATTTATATAGATAATATATACTTTTAACAGTGTTCGCCCCCCCCCCCCCGAAGAAAGTTTACCGGCCCCCCCCCCCGAAGATTTCAAGTGCCCCCCCGGAGAAAAAAGTCTGGAAGAAACACTGACCAGTACACCAGCACACCAGTACACCAGTACAGCAGTACACCAGTACACCAGTACACCAGTACACCAGTACACCAGTACAGCAGTACACCAGTACACCAGTACAGCAGTACACCAGTACACCATTACACCATTACACCATTACACCACCACAACACTACAACAAGGCAGGTTATCCATCATAACAGTAGGAAGCAAGCATGAAACTTGTCCATATGGGGGCTTTTGGGACCGATGGGAAAATGTGTGGGGGGGGGGGGGATTCCCCTTAATTTTTGAAAAATGTAAAATTACTTTTTATAATCATATGTATTGCCAGTTTGTCTTTTTTAATGTTAATATTTTACGTATTTAATTTGCTTGCCCCCAACCCCTTTCATTCTTTTATGCATATTTGTATGCCAATGGGCAGATTTAGAGTGGGAATTGAATGCCTCCCTCCCCAAAAAAAAAATCATACATAAATTTAGCACCCCCTTGCAAGTAAACTATAAATAAAAATAAAAATAATACCTAGATGTGCCTATGCAAAAAAATATATTAATAAACATTACTCTTAGACCTAGCTATCCGTTGGGCAGATACAACAGAATTCTGATGGTTCTTGACCTCGATATATGAAGGGATAGTGTGGTCAGTACTAGATTGTAGGAAAAAAGTCACAGGAAAAAAAAACACAGGAAAAAAAACAGAGAAAAAAAGTCACAGGAATAAAAGTCACAAATATATATTTGCATGATATTTGTTAATACTTTTATGTATTAAATATTTAGAGAGTGCAAATAAACTTAGGATTAATTAAATGTAATGTAATGTGTGTAGGTTGTATACGCATATTAATTATTATAATTCATCTAAAAATATTTAGTATGAAGTATGTAGATTGTAATTATGTTAAAGATAATATTAATAGCATTTAATAGAATGCTCCAAAGTTCACGGTTCTCATCGTGTTTTTTAAGTACCTACATTAAATTACTGTGAAATGGTTAGTTCATCTGACTTGCTGCCCTCAACTCATCGCAACAATAGTTATGATTAGTTCAACCACCTTTACTTCCCACATTTATCACGCTCATTACATAACAAAACTAAATATCAAAACAGAAAGCCGACAAGGTTCAAAGGCTGTCATTGACACAAAACGTCAACAATACAAAACATGTTCGGACTATGCCTACTAAGGAGAGGCCGACCAGAGAATAGCCTACGGCAAAATATATGCAAAACACGATGTGCCTAAATTTCTTTTATAATTAACTTTTCTACCGCGTATTTAACTAAATACGTAAAAGTTCAGATTGTTGTGTAAATTATCTTAGAGTATTTTTTACTTACAATTAATATTAACGATAATACGTTTAACGTCTATAAATAATTTATGCTATAAAAAAAATACAACACACAACAATAAACATACAAAATTTTACAATTCTTAATAAATAAATAAAAATATTTCTAAAAAGATGTTTGTGACTTTTTTCTGAAACTTTTTTTCTGTGACTTTTTTTCTGTGAATTTTTTTCTGACTTTTTTTTCTGTGACTTTTTTTTCTGTGACTTTTTTTCCTAGCAAAAACTAACTTTTTTTCTGTTTCGTTTTTCCGTTCACCCTGTACTATGCCCGGTCGCCTTTAGTTTCTCCAACGTGAGCCAGGTACCCACCAGAGCTGGATGAACTCAGGGACGCTAGTCCGAATCAAGATACGACCTCTAGACCTTCGGGCAGGTAGTCGAGCGCTCTACCATTATATCTGGATTTATCTCCATAGCTTTGGTCCAACTAAGAACAAACAACAAGGCAGCAGTTGTTTGATTTTGAGATGTCTCTCCTAGATGTGTTGCTGTCCTCGTATATCGAGCCTCATCTGCCCGGAGGTTCGAACTCGGGACTTTTCGATTTAGTGGTCCCGACCCCACCAACTATCTAATAATGCTCCCCCCCCAAGCACACACACGTTAAAGTACGCTGCAACTATGTATAAATAAATAACTGATAACGATATCGTAAGAATCTCTTACATTTACACATACATCAAAAGCACTTAATACACTACAAGGGAAACCCTTTGAGAACCTCTTTCAGGAATATACATCGGAAAGACAGAACTACATTAAGAGAACCTCTGACATAGGACCATGAATTAAGATCACATGGTACAACACAAGAAAACCCTTTGAGAACCTCTGACATACTATGAATAGAGAGCACATGGCAGTGGCGGAACTAGAAAAAACGGGCCACCCCGCAAAAAAAATTTTTTGGGCCCCCCTCTTATATATGTGTATATATATATATATATATATATATATATTTATATATATATATATATATATATATATATATATATATATATATATATATATATATATATATATATATATATACAAACACAGAACTTATAAATTAGATACTCATTTCTGGCCTGATCGGGTTTTGAAAAAAAATTGTGTTTATTTTTCAATTTAAACAAATTACATGTCATGTGTGTTAGTGCATTGGTCTGTTTTTATTTTATTTATTTATTTATTTATAATTTAGAACTAGTTTATTGAATACGTTTGCTGTAATTCAGCCGACCCTCTAGTATTGAGCCGGTCAAAAAAAATAATATATAAAACGTGAAAGCTTTGTATGTGTAATGGTTTCTCGTGTTATGTTTATTTTTATGTTTTTTTGTATTTATATTATTTGTTTTAAATATATTTCCTTTTTATGCTATGTCAGTCGTTAACTTTTATTTTTTTTTAAATAATAATTAAGAGAAGAAATTGCTTTTTAATTTTTTTAGTACAAATATATTAAAAGGAGCTTATGATTACCCCTATTTAACTATTTAAAAAAGGGAAATAAGTCATGGAAGGGTTTTGAATGTTTGCCTATCTTTCACACGACAGATGAAACATATATTTTTTTTACGCAACAGCATGTGTTAGCTACTGTATAACATCACAACTGTAGTAGATCTGTTTGTTATTTACAAAAGCTTTTACCGTCAAGTCAAAAATGCAAGAATTTTTTTTGTAACTATAAAATTTTTATTATGGTCGGCTATGGGCCCCTAAAATGGCGTGGGCCCCCCCGCATTGCGGGGTCTGGCGGCACTGTAGTTCCGCCCCTGGCACATGGTACGATACAAGAGAACCCCTTGAGAACCTCTGACATAGGACCATGTATCAAGATCACATGGTAAAATAGAAAAGAACCCTTTAAAAACCTCTGACATACTATGAATAGAGAGCACATGGTACGATACAAGAGAACCCCTTGAGAACCTCTGACATATACTACGAACCGAGAGCACATAGTAGGATACAAATGAACCCATTGAGAACCTCTGACATATACTACGAACCGAGAGCACATAGCACACGATACACATTCATCAAGTCACCACGCACACAACGAGTGCCGCGGGGCATACAAAAGCCTCAGTATACACAAATGATTTTGCTCCCTACAAGGATTTAAACCCATTATAGAATCCACCGTTTCATTGATTCGAATACGTTCTGTTCTAGGATTAAGAAATATTTTTAAATTGGTTATATTAGATACAGTATAGCAGAACTACATAGTACAATAAAACTATTTTAACAGCTGATGTAGGCCTGTTGGCGAGGGCCAGCGAACCCCCCACCCCGAGATTGTATTGATGTCCATTTTGAATTGTTTTCCCGTGTTCACGAGTCGGAATGCGCGGGTCACGCTCCGCCTTCACTTGACCACCGTGTGCTTAGTCGCGGCCCAGCGCACATCGTTCACAACAAACCTGTGTCGCGGGCCTCGACATCATTTCCGTCAACTGTATCGTCTGCTAAACGTGTCAACCGGGCCTTCAAACACCGTGAATCATTTAGGTCGAGAGTTTTTAGGGTGAGGTTTAAGTTCGTGGGTGGTGTTGTTTAAGGTAGAGACAAAACAAAAAGGTAAATTAATCAATTTTATAGCAGGTGTGGGAGCTGAGCGAGAGAGGGGGGGGGGTAAGGGGGCGGAGTTATGCGAACCGCTGGTGACAAGCGGCATGAAAAGTTTTGACGGGTGTGTGGAGCCTCGATATGAGCTGGTGTCCCAATTGCCTAAAAATAACCTCGAACACGGGTGGAGGGATATTCTCAACACGCAGGGTGCCGAGGTGTGTTGTTCAGTTGTGTGAAATTCGAGACGAGGCGGATTCGAGGACCGGGGACCAACATGATTGTGAGTACTGGTAAAATTCGATAAAAAGTAATTTGTTTGAACTCTGATTTAACTAGAAAAACTGGCGACCTATTTTCGTGTGGGTTAATCCGTCCCATACCACCTGTAGCCACAGGCCTGTGACGAAGAAGGACATGACACTGGTCCCGCCACGCTCGCCCGTTCGTCTGCTACGATCCGTCTTCACGCGGTGTGATTACTGTGCCCACTGGATTGGAAAGTTTATGTTATACGACGGACGGGGGTCGATAATGTTTTAAACACACTTTAAAATGTTTTGAAATTCGGTTTTATTTTGTGTTGTACTTAAAGGAGTTGCATTTTCGTTTCTGGATTCTTATATTGTTTTTAGAACAAATTTAGTTGACTTGTGAAGATTAGTTCTGGTAGTTTTGAAAACTTACCTGTTGTTCAGTGGACTGTTTCGGTACAGCGTATCACCTGGTATTCTCAGCCGCTGAGAGAATGAGGAAGCACTCAGGGAAGCAGGGGAAGAGGGGGGTGCCCGTGAGCCCAGCCAAGCGGGGCGGCGGCGATGACAGTAGAAGCTCGCCCGCCAGTGAGTGCGCATCGCCGCCCGTCGACTCCATGAGCCGTGTCGCAGATCCCAAACACAACAACAACAACAATACCCACGATGTCAACAGAGAGCGGGCGTATTCCGTCAAGTGTGAGATCCTGCAGCCGGAGACGATCGTTCACGTGAAGACGGAGATTCTCCAGGCTGAGTACTTGCAGCAGTTGAAGAGGCAGCAGGAGCGAGAAGCCGAGGTGGCGAGACGGCAGCATTACGAGGACCAGAACAGGTCCAGCTACCACCGCGACACGTCCAGTCCGGAGGACGATGACGTCAGGTCTGCCCAGCCGTACACCCTCCACGAACTGCCGTCCCAGCATCCTCTAATCATCAACCCCACCCAGACCGGGTCGTCCCCGCCCCCCATGCTTGTGTCCGCCACTTACCTCAGCAGTCAGAACCCAGCCCACATGACGGGTTCTACTACTCACCTCGTCTCGTCTGGGATGATCCTGGGCCAGCAGATGTACGTCCCAGACGACGCGCACATCTTTCGCGGAAATGACCCTCACCTTCGCGCAAGTGACCACAACCTACGCGATGACCTCAACATGGTGGAGGACTTGTCCGGGACGTCACGGATTTCGTCCCTGGTCGGGCAGCACCCTGGGAATATTCCAGAACAGACCATGTTCGAGCACCATCTCCTGGCCCAGCAGCTGGCCGAGATGGCGCAGCCCACAAACCTGACCGTGCTCACCAACGTCAGCAGCAGCTCTATGAAGAACAGCAAAGGTAAGACACTCACCAATCTCACACGGCACTCGCCATTTCCTCGGTTTACCTCCAGTCTCAATGTTTCAACACGGTTCACTTAGGCCCAAAAATATAAAGCCCAAACTAACGTTTAATTTAATTTGCAACAGACGGTTTTAAATGGTTTGGTTGAAATTGAAACCTTTTTTTAAAGTAAAATTGTAACATCGTTTATAATTTAAATATTCGTTTGGTGAACAAGTTTTTAAAAATATGTAATGGTAATATTATCAATTTTCGTCACTTGCCGAGTTTTAAGTACATATGTAAGCTATACAATAGTTATGTTGAAATATTTTTAGCTTAGAATTCTATTTCTTAGTGTTTAATAAAAAAATGTTTTATTACCTCAACAAAATTTCACGAATTGACATAATCCCAACGGTTCTAATGACATGAGATGGGTTAGGGTTGTAGCTATTTATTTCTTGTGTTGAGAACCTTTGCTATAAGAAAAACGTTTCACTGGCATTTGACGTTGTGTAATTGGGGTGTGTTTTAATTTCTCAAGCAGTTCCAACCTTAGTTGCTTGATACACGAATTGTTTTGCATGTTAGGTGAACATTTTTGTATTATAATTGGAATGTATTGCTGAAGCTATCGTTACATAATTTAATTATTTAAAGTTCATTAATTGGATGAAACCGTAAGACAATTAAAATAACAGCAATGAATAGATGGTGTAAAATAATTTTAAGTGAGATATTACAAATGTTTTTTTTTAAATTTCCTACTAGTGTGTCAAAAGTTAATTAGTTCCATGTTTGATTGCATGAAAAGTTATGTTGATTAATAACTAATTAGAAACCATTTACATTTAGTAATTGTTCTCGTGAAATACATATTTTAGCCTTCCTTCTCAACAAACAATAATGTGTTCAACCAACACAGCTCTTGATACATGAGCTGTCGAGGAGCTAGTACAAAACAATATAATACTAGGCAATCAATGTAATACAAAAGTAATATTAGAAATCAATGTAACACAAAGTATTATAAAACAATATACATTATCTAATACACAACAATATAATACTAGCAATCAATGTAATACACAAGTAATATTAAAAAATCAATGTGATACAAAAGTATCATAAAACAATATACATAATGTAATTGAAAACAATATATATTTGTATATATATATATATATATATATATATATATATATATATATATATATATATATATATATATATATATATATATATATAATGTGATACAAAATAAATAAATGTGATATAATACAAAACAATCACTGTAATGTAAACAAATCAACAAATGTAATACACAGCATTAAATTCTAAGGTATTATCCGTGATAGATACATCTACGGTTGGGTGGGGGTGGGGGTGGGGGTGGGGGCTATGACTGTTTATAACCCAGACATTACACAATCTCATGTTCTATGACGCTGTGGTTTTGATGTAAACAACTTTCTCCCCCATACCCCACGGTCCTTATATTGGACGACTCACACCCCCACCCCCCTGCAACATAATAAACTAGCCATCTCGTGACCGTCTTTAAAACCAATACACAGTTAATACAAGCTATCGTGTAACATCAATACTTAGTTTTTATACAGAGACATTTTTTCAAAATATCAATTATTTTTTTTCGTTTATAATTATCAGTAATTATTAATTAACACCGTGGTGTAATTGAGATTGTAACAAGAACGAGACGATCCATTAAAGTGGTGTGTGTTTACTTGTGTTAGTCTAGGAGTTATTGTGTGTGATTGTGACACGTGTGTGTAGGCCTATAATTGTGTGTAGGAAATCTTGTGTGTGTTGTGGGGCATGTTGTTATGTGTGTGGGGGAATAGCTGTCAGGTGTTACAATGTGTGGATGACGTCAGATGTGTCACAAAGGATCGGGGAGGACACAAAACAGGTGTGTCGCTTGTTGCGTTTTTGTGTCATGTATGTCATAAGTGTGTCGTGTACTTGTCACATTTACATATCCCTGCCATGTATGTTTTGCTTGTCGGATGTATGTATGTGTCTCATGTTTGTGTCTCATGTATGTATGTGTCTCATGTTTGTATGTGTCTCATGTTTGTATGTGTCTTATGTATAAATGACTCGTGTTTGTTGTGTGTGAAACGTGTATTCGACTGTTTGTGATACGTCTGTTGTCAGCCTTGAAGATTCTTCTAGTAGGTGTCGGGTTTCACAGACACAATCATTAAATCAATCACACACACACACTATCAAGTAGACACACACACACAATCAGGCATTTACACAGACCCACACAACATCAGACACACACACCCAGAGAGACAGACACAATCAGACAAACACACAGACACATGCACCGACAGACATCCACAGCAACATGTCTATATCATGTTTGTTGCCTCTACCCTACCAAGAAACCCGACATTATGACACAGGACAAAAAGCTCCAAAACATGTCACTAGACTTCCATGTTGTACCCGAGTACCCGTAGGGTGCCCGTACACAATAGGACTAACTACCACAGTACGTTTATTGTAGTAAGGCCACTTGTGGTCTGGATTGTTCTATACTACGCCCTTTCTTTACATGACAAGTGTTATGGGGCACCCCAGGGGTTATGGGGCGGGAGCGAATGTTGATTTTGTATGAGGTATGTATAACTTAAAGTTTAAGGCGTGTGCTATGTTAAAATTGTTTCAATACAAATTTAAGAAGTACAGGTATGTAACGTGTTTATTGTTCAATTTATTTGAGTATATTTTTCTTACATTTATATTGTGTTGGTGCTTATTAAAACTACCCATAAAATGGCCGCATAGTTTCAATCAAGCAACTCTTAGCGTAGGGTGTGAGTGTGTGTGTAAGGGAGGGGGGAGTTGGTGTGTGAAAGGGGGCACTACCCTTCGAAGCATGTCCACTCCCCCCCCCCCATGAATGTTTCAAATGCCCCCTTCTCTGAAAGAAAAATTATGAAAGAAATACTGCCTGACTCTTACCCTAATCTTGATTAAATCTCTGACCCTAACCGCTGTATCGGCAGAAGAAATTAAGCTCTATTCAAGTTACGGATTAAAAACAAAATTATAATATCCATATGTTGAAATCCAAACCAAAAAGTTGCTAGCTACCCCTCCAACATGTGCTCAGTTCTACAGAGGCGGACCCACACATTCCTTACCCTGGGGGCGCACTCACGATGTGCTCAGTTCTCCAGAGGCGGACGCACACATTCCTAACCCTGGGGACACACTCTCAATGTGCTTAGTTCTTCAGAGGCGGACCCACACATTCCTTACCCTGGGGGCACACTCACGATGTGCTCATTTCTACAGAGGCGGACGCACACATTCCTAACCCTGGGGACACACTCTCAATGTGCTTAGTTCTTCAGAGGCGGACCCACACATTCCTTTCCCTGGGGGCACACTCACGATGTCGCCGCTACCGTAGCTGTACACCATTATGGCGTCCGTCTTACGATTTTGGCACCCCACTCCCCCTCTTGTCAGTAACTACTTGAGAAGAAGTGCCGCCCGGTGCGTACATCCCCTCAACTCCGCCCTCGCATTGTCCGAATACCTGTTGCCGTAACTCGCGTGTATCCTTAAGGCTATGTGTATGTACGTTTTTTTCGCGATAACCCGGTTTTACCAATACACCTTTTGAATTTGTATTAACAGACCCGTTTGTGTTGTTTGTGACTTACTGCTAGAATTGAACCGTAGCACGGGAGTTTTTAAGTTTAATTACGTCAAGCTTCACCACACACCCTTTCCTACCTCAACCCACGGGAACTGGGGTTGGGGGGGGGGGGGGGGGGGGATCATCAGACCGACGCATTGTTAAAGTTGCTGAGGTTGTGCATTGCTGTGCATTGCTCCCACAGCAGTATTTTTAAATACAGAATGTGAGGAAATTGTGAATGTAGATTCTTTCTCTTCAAATACATTTCTTCTTATTCAGCTCATGGCTGCAGCTATAGGTGGGGTATAAACAGGCTGGCTGTGCTGCAGCTAAATGACTCCAAAATTTTCAGCCCCTTCCCCCAAAAGTTTTTTTTTAAATTATATTTTTCAAATCGGTGACTAGGTCACATATCAGAGACTGGAAAATATTCAGAGAAAAAATGTGTTTATTTCAATATTGTTTGGTTAATGTTTTCATACAGCTAAATAAAAATAAAATAAATAAAAGGTCCCAGTAAAATTAAGACGTCGCTAATTTCACATGTGTGAAACATATCGGTGATATTGTGGATGTCTTCTCAATGTATCGGCTTCCGAAACTTTTTAGAGAAGGAAAAAATAAAGCAATTGGGCAAATCCATGACAACCTGTTGACCTAATGTTCCACAACAAGGTCGTGAGGGTGACCTTGTATCGTGTCAGTGACCTCGCGTCGTGTGAGTGACCTTTCAGGGTCACCCCACCTGAGTTGTCAAACTGCAGCAGAACCAAATCCCCGTGACCTCGACGGGGGGAATCGTGCAGACGATTGAGGCCACTCACGCTAGTAAAACTGAGCAGCCCTCTCGTGCGTACCGCTGTGAGCCGTTGTTTCTGGTCACGTGACGGTCCCCGCGCCCCCTCGACGCCCCCCGCGCCCCCTCGACGCCCCTTTGTTGCAGTCAGTTAATAATGCATCGAATATAGCAGCATAATCGATTACATGTGGTCCCCTATTGTCAGGCCCAGAAAGTTATTACTTGTCGCAATTTTCAACGATTATTTTTCCCCATAATCGATTCCCATCGATACTTTATTCGCCGTGCCTAAATTACTTTACCAAGTTCAGCTTTAGATCGGTTCGATGATCGTTTTAACTTTGGGAGCCATCTGTCGATGGGGATCTTTCCGTGGGACTGTAGGATAGGAATATCAGCGAATGGATTTTAGGTAGTGTTGATAGGGTACTTGTCGGATATGACTAAAGTGTTGGATGTTTTATTATTATTTATTATTTATATTTGATTATTTTAGATTTGTTGAACAGAAAACTCACTATTTTA